CATTTTGGGGTTTATGGCTGCCCTTTGGGTTTTATACTTCAAGGTTTAGTTTGTTGGTTTTCATGATGTGCAATTCATGTCGATCTGCTAGCAGTGCTTGTCCTCCTGTATATTGATGTTGCTGTGTCTTAAGTTGTGTCCTCCTGATGGATACGTTGGGCCATAGTTTTTTTGCTTTTTGGGTATAACAATAATGCTGTTCACTTGGTGGCTTTTCCCAAGGTTTGTACTGTCAAGTTTTGTTGGTGGGTTTTTCCATTTTGGTTTCTGCTCTAAGGTGTGTATGATTACTTTTAGAATGGATGATTGAAGGATATTAACGGAATGCTTGAAGGATGAAGCTTGAGGGATATCCATGTTGGTGAGTCATTTCCTAACTTCAAGGATATGTACTATTTCTTGGATGCTTGTTGGTCATTGCCTTTATTTCAACTTAACACTATTAAAAAGAACCAACTTTTGGCCTATAACAGATCATGTTTTGGAGGCATCATCATGAAAAATTGCAGCACCAAAGCAGTTTCTTGAGCAAAAAAGTTGTTCTCTGGTTGTCGCACTCCATTCCTCAGTAAACCTTGGGTCATACATTCTATTTGCATCTCGCCATCTTCTAATTGTTTTTTTGTTTTATGATGTGAGATTGATGGATTGTATGGGTTCCCAATTCCCTTTGTGCGTAGCGGGACAGTACCCAGCCTGTCCATGTACAAATTATTTCATTTGAATGGAAGTGTTTATTTTTTCATGTCCATATAAATCTTTAAAACAACGGTTGTTTGATTGTTTGGGCAGTAGTTTTTGAGTGACTGAGTTGAACTCTTGGGGGGGTTGAGTGGGTTTGGAGTGCTTGACTTGTTTTGGTTTGGGGTGGGTTTTGAGTGTGTGTTGGAATTGTTTGCTGTGATGCTTTGGAAAGCCATAGTCTGGACAGGGGCATGAAGATAGGGGGACAAGGCAGCTGCTGCAATTGGGACCAAAGAAACCAACCAACCTTCAGCTCCAAAAAAAACAGCCCAGGCAGTGACCAAGACAGCTCCATTTTGTTTGATGTGATGCTTTGGTTTCTGCAATTGTTTGCTATGATGCTTTGGAAAGCCATAGTCTGGACAGGGGCATGAAGATAGGGGGACAAGACAGCTGCTGCAATTGGGACCAAAGAATCCAACAAACCTTCAGCTCCAAAAAAACAGCCCTGGCAGTGACCAAGATAGCTCCATTTTGTTTGCTGTCATGCTTTGATCCATTTTGTTTGCTGTGATGCTTTGGTTTCTGCAATTGTTTGCTGTGATGCTTTGGAAAGCCATGCTTTGGTTTCTTTACACTGTTCATGTTACTATTCATTCTTTGCTGTTTTGTTGGGGACTCAAAAATAGAGATGGCCCAAAGGCCCCTGGTAGTGCTACTGCCATGCCAAATCAAGTAGCTCAAGCCACCACTTCAAGTCAGACAACCAACTAGCAGCGGGTAATAAAGAAAAGAAGAAAAAAAAGGCTTTGAAAGGTGATGAATCTATTGTGGATGGTTATGGTGATGCTGCCATGCCAAAGCCAGGAGGCCAAGTTCCCATCCAATTCTCTTTGTATGTTGTCCATGTACTTTTTCATTTCTTTCAATGGAAGTGTTTATTTTTTCATGTCCGTATAATTTTTTGGAACAAGGGTTATTTGATTGTTGTATAAATTTTGCCTGAAAGTATGAATGTAAAGTTAGAGAGCGTATACATTTTCATTGTAAAAAAGATTACCGTTTCTCCAAACTTTTAAAATATTTTACGCTTAAGAGCTAGACTACTATTTAAAACGAGTATTCTTAACATTTAAAATAGTTCTAGGCTTGATATGCACAATTCTCTTAAAAACAGTTTTCTTTACTTATTATAGATAACTGTGAAAAAAATAGTGTGACACACACTACTTGTAATACAATACTAATTCTTATAAGTTTAAAAACAGTTATACACTGGGAACCAGACTTCTGTTAAGAAATAGTAGTCTTAACTAATTATTGACAACTGTGGCAATAAAAACTGTATTTTTTTACGAAACCGACTACTAATAATAGATGACCGTTTCTCACAGCTTCAAAAACAGTTCTACCCATAATTCATAGACTATTGTTCTAAAAGAGTCTTCTAGTCCTATTATAAACAACAGTGGCAAAAAAACCATATGAAACAGACAACAAACGTTAGATAACTGTTTCTAATAAATTTAAAACAGTTCTAGAATAACAACCCATACTATTGTTTAAAAAGAGTATTCTTAACTTGTTATTGACAACTGTTGTAAGAAAAACTGTATTTTGAACTGAGACAGACAACTAATGATACAATACCGTTTCTCGAAACTTGAAAAATAGTTTTAAAGCATAGCAGCTAGACTACCGTTCTGTTCTTAAGAAAAACTTACAGTAGTCTGTTTTTTTCAACTACTGTGTTTGCATAAACAGTAGTTAATAAACAGTGGGCAGCTTCTTAGAGGGACTACGGCCTCTTAGGCCGCGGAAGTTTGAGGCAATAACAGGTCTGTGATGCCCTTAGATGTTCTCGGCCGCACGCGCGCTACACTGATGTATTCAATGAGCATATAACCTTGGCCGATAGGTTCGGGTAATCTTTGAAATTTCATCGTGATGGGGATAGATCATTGCAATTGTTGGTCTTCAACGAGGAATTCCTAGTAAGCGTGAGTCAGCAGCTCGCGTTGACTACGTCCCTGCCCTTTGTACACACCGCCCGTCGCTCCTACCGATTGAATGATCCGGTGAAGTGTTCGGATCGTGGTGATGTGGGTGGTTTTCTGCCCGTGACGTTGCGAGAAGTCCATTGAACCTTATCATTTAGAGGAAGGAGAAGTCGTAACAAGGTTTCCGTAGGTGAACCTGCGGAAGGATCATTGTCGAACCCTCGCGGTAGAATGACTTGCTAACCTGTACCAATTATTGATTCGAATGTCTGGGTGCCGTCTTTCTGATT